TTCCAACATACCGCGTGGTCTATTACCGCTGTTCAGTTTTTAGCTACCCTTACAAGCAACATGGACCCATCTTGCTCGCTTAAGATTGCCCGCTTCTATTCCGTGCAAGAAAAACAGTGCGGGGAGCGGACTAACAGAGTTCGTAGCTTTTGCACAATGTCGGCAACAAAGAGGAAGACAGTCAAAACATGACAATTGTGAAAACATCAGTTTAGAAAGACAAGGTTTTTCTCTCCAATTTAATTACTTCCTGGAAATGGTTTTATTTATCTAGACAAATCCTTTAAACATTGGGTAAGACCTAACAACTTCTTTTTCCCCCTTATTCATCGGCTCAAAACACTCAGCAGGTTATTAAAATGTTTGTTCTCCTCCCTCCCCCCCCCGAATAAAAACATGATTAATAAATAATTAAATAACCTTTTGACTTTCCGCATAGATTGTCATGAAACCACAGGCTGTTCTACTACTGATGCTGGTGGCTGTTCCCTTCACATCTGCAAGTATGTTACTCTATCATTATGTTATGTTTAGCTACCACTTGTACCCTGATAAGTAAATGGAATATTTGCATATAAAAATTTAACCCAATAGAGAAGATTGAAAAAACAAATTCCAAACCTTTTCTGAACAGGCTTTTCTGGATCTGTAGGAGATCTTGGAGGACTCAACTTATTTTAGAAAGACTTATAAACCTATCATTGCAATGTCTATAAATTTTGACAGAAATGATTCACTTACTATCTGTGACAACAAATTGCAATCAAATAACCATGTAATGCGTACATTATATGGGAAAAAAAGCAGAAAAAAAAAAGAGACTTCACATCTCAGGTAAAAGGCCAGTGGTGACTAATGCGCTCGGAGGGGAGAAGCGCAAAAGAAATAGCGCCTGTACCCACACTATTGTTCAAGCTGTTCTTCTGTTCATATATGAACAGAGCTACTCAACTGGTCTCGTGATATCATGGTGCGGTGGTTGTATCATGCTGACGTATGGACAAAGCCATTCACGAAACCCTTCGTTTGATTCCGAAAGAGCCCTCTGAGTTATAGGCAAAAGAAATGCATCGATTAGGTATTGAAAATCACAAATCGAAAGAAATTGGGGATAAAAACACCGTTGAACTTAAACAACAACTGTAAACAATAGCACACACTCAATGTCATTAATGAGATCTACTGAGCGTGTGGGATTGGCCTCGCGTGTGGCTTGTATACACAGCACTTCGTGCCACTTCTTTTAAAGGCTGTAATTGGTTGGTAACTGTAGCGGTGTCTGGGGGCGGAAGAGCTTGAACAATAGCGTCGTACAGGTGTAATTATTTTTGTGCTCCTTCCCCGGCATGTGACTTTCACTTTGCGCTCGTCTCACGCTTGCCTCCGCTCGAATGAATAGCACAGAAAAATAATAATAACGCCCATTCCGCAGGCTAAAGTTTATCGGCTATCAAACGTAATCTCTAAAAAAAGTTACAGCACCATGTCAGCTTTGAAACTCTTCACGGTGGCCTATTTACATTATCAACTTAGTTAAACGAAACAAAAATGACCTTGTTATTCATTGTCTAATTAGTTGTAGAAATTTACCATGTGTCAACGATTGTTCACGATTCGATTGATTTGTCGTAAACTGATTTAATTGGAAGAACAAACTCTCGCTTACAAAGATTATTGATGACTGAAGATCAGTAGTCTTGACTGCTAACAATTTTTCTCTCAGCAATGTGAAAACTACTTCCGTTGTAGTACACATTAGGCGACACGCCTTGAAACATGCCAATCTTAATAACGCGTTCTCCTATCTCTTGACGACATTGTACAGATCCCGACACACTCCCCCCATATATCTCCGAAGGAGAGATATGTATCGAAAATCTAAATGTACACAGTAATCACATGAAAGAAACGAAACTCGTAACAGTTTTCAATATCGGATAAAGGTTCAGTCCGGCTTAAACAGTTATCAACTTCCAACTTCAGATCACTCTTCATCTCGAGCAATGTTCTGTACGCGCAGGCGTCTCAGCTGATTTGTTTCCTGGGTTGTCAACGGTCCCTTTATGCGCGTCTTACGTCGGCTGCGGAGAGCGTTATGCGCGAATCTTCGCATCCATGCACACACAC